ACCAATTCGTTTTCTTTTGAATTGATGCATGTCATGATCAAATCCATCAATTGATATCTACAGAAGACCAATTTTTCGATTACTAAAATTAGAAAAGTATATAAGTGTTGCGATAATTACTTTTGAATGGGTGAAGTTTTCTATCTATTAATAATAAGTTCATCCGGTCCTATCATTTCACATTGCGTTCAAATAATAGGGCCTAATGAACTTATTACTAATAGATAGAAACTTTTCAACCTAAAAAATATTTATCGTATAACTCATATATTTTTCTCTCCGTGGGAATTGAAAAATTGACCGTGTTTAGGTATTAATTAGCAGGTTTGACCATGACATTCATCAATTAGTACACTTAGAAAGTTTGGCGGCACATAATTTCTGAAAAAGTTGTACGGTTGGTTGCATTTGCTCTCAGGAGCAATATTGCAGAACTTCAAACATCAAAAAAGCTAAAAATTACAAAAGAATCTTACAACTTGATGATATTATATACCATTCTATGTATCATTAGTTGCTCTATAAAACAGTAAGGTTAGCTTTTCATATGAAAGATGTTTATCTTATCTGACAGTGCGTTTAAAAAAATTTTGTTTTAGGTACGTCTTAAAGATCATCGTGATGAAGAATATAAACATGTCGCGCCTAAATTTAAACCTTTTGGTGGTTCTGGTAATACTGTAGGTATTTCCAATGCTGAACAAACTCCATTTAAATCATCTATGGTTTCATCTGGTAATACAACGTTAGATTCTTCAGATGAAAAAAGTCTTGAGATACTTGCTGAAAAACGCTTAAAAAGTTCATCGTCATCAACAACAATTCGTCTTCGATTACCGGATATGTCAAAGCCAATATGTATTAAAATTGATCTCAATCGAACATTGGATGATATACGAAAATTTCTTACTGAAAATGTTCAATCACTTCGATCTAATGCATTCGAATTTATGGAACCACCATCAACAAAAATAAAACGTGAAGATGAAAGAAGAAAAATAAGTGATACAAAATTATCAAACTCCGCACTTGTCGTCCGACGAATTACTTAATGTTCGATATATATATTTTTCAATATGTATAAACAACACAAACAAATATTATTTTTTCATTTTTTTTTAATTAAGAGACTTTATTTTTTATCCTTGCATTTTTGTATTAATACAGCACATAAAAAATAAAAGAGTAGGGTAAAAACAGTACATATTTCAAATGCAATTTAATGGATTCATCATGATGAGTAATTTTGATGTCTTATTATTTAATTTCTATAATTCTTTTTTATCATAGTTTATTCATTATTCATAACGATTGATAGTTCCTATCTCGAAGGAGTACGTATGATCTTACTAGCTGGAATTTATGCAAAATGCATGATTGCTTTTTTTTTGAGTTTTTCATAAGAAATCCTTTCTCATCACATTTTCCACCTTCAAATGTTCGATATTCAACATCTCTTTTGGTTTGTCCACTTGTAGCTCTAAAAATAAAATCTTCTGTTGAAGAAATTCTTTTATCTACGATTCTTACTCCACAGATGTTTTATCGAATAATTTGGCAGGTGCTCTTTTAAAAATAAAACGATTCTTTTTCTTAAATGTTTATGGAACAACATCATTTTGTTCATTTGATGTTCCACATGATCCTCCAAGTTTTTTTTGTATAATCAATTCTTGGAATTACTTTAATTGTAACCATATTTTGAATCACATTACAATGTTCAACTTTAGCTAAATTATCTCGATAAATTCCACGTTTAACACGTATCCATGATCCTTTTTTTATTCCATATGTTGTGTTAACAACACGAAGTATATCAGTCATTTTTTTTATTGAAACCATTTGAAGATTTGAAATATTTAATGAACGAATATCTTCACATGCTGCTTCGACATGATTAGATTTAAATGCTTCAATATAAATATAACTACAATCACCTTCTTTTACAACGACAGATTTTATTTGCAATGCCTTTATAAAACAAATTAATTTATCGTTATCAGTAAATTTCTTTTTCTTTACTTTTTCATTATTTTTCAAAGGAAGATATTTTCTCATCAGTAATAAAGCTGTTTGGTTTTCTTCTCCAATTCGACATTTAACAGGCCAAAGATTCGATGATTTGACATCAGGTAATAAACATTGTTGAGTTATTTCATCTGGAATTTGATCATCCTCATCTACACGTCCTCCTCAACTTTTCGGACCATAACGTTCCCCTTTCAATATTTTTCCATTTCAGATGGATCCATATCACTTTAAATATGGATAAAATAGAATATCTTTAAAATAAAAAACTAAACAAACTCTTCAGCTATAGGAGATTTTCACTTTTCAGCTCGATAGATATCTGCTGCTGTTGTATCGTGAATATCTGATTGTTCGACAAAACCTTCTTCAGGTGCATCTTCTTCTTCATCAATATCTATAAAATAAAAATAAATAGATTTGCTTATTTTCTACATGATGAACAAACCAGCTTCATGGATAATTAACGTTTTTCCGGAAAATTTCTTCTTTTTTTTTCGTTTATTCCTATCTTCTTCGTCGTCCTCATCCTAAAGTACAAAATTTATTTATTTATTTATTAAACGAAATGATCCAGATTTAATCTCTTCATCATCTATTGATTTACGCTTTTTTTGCTTGTACTTTGCTTTTATTCTCACTATGCCAAGATAGAGAAATAAATCGCTAAAATGAATCTATTCAATCAATAATAACTAACTTCTTCACTATCATTCATTCTGATTAACGACGTTTATGATTAGATTGAGTCTACGCATGAGTAGATGTAACCACTTCAATCATACTGTCTTGAATTCTTCATCAATACCTTTTGACCTCCTTCGTTACGAGATTCTAACATCACATATATTTCTCTTAGTTCCATCTATTCCTGAGATAAATCGACAAAATATCATAAGACTATGTTATTATCTTTTATAGTAAGACATAACACACTAAAATGACTGTAATCACATATAAATTTGTAACGAAATATTTACTATAGAAATATTTAAAACAGCTGATTGCACTGTCAAGAAAAGAACGAAAGCATCATACTGTAAACAATCGTACTCTGACATACTTTACATAAGCAGCAGATTCTCAATACAAGGACGCATATGTAAAACGTCACATCTCCGACGAATTATAATTTTTCTAATCTTTACAATATTCGTTACATGTCAATGTCAATGTCAAACTCCACTTCCACATCCACTTTGATCTGATGGATTCCAGTGAACTTTATTATTTCAATAAAAGATATAATGAATCAATTTGTATCTTATTCAAAATAGAATCAACTATAGCTGCTTTTCATGCAGATAATCATAGTCACATATTCACCTTATGCTTTTTTTACTATATCTATATTAAATAAATTCTTTTTCTTTTCATTCTTATTCCCTCTACTGAAAGGAGGGTCTTACGAAAAATGAGTTGTTACGTTCGTTCGTGAATTCGTTTGTTCGCACAGAAAGAAAAAAAATGTTCTTTCGATCTTTCGCAAGCTGGAAACCTCTTTGAGCCTAACAGACTTCGTCGCAGAGATTGGTCTTTTCCAACGAAAGTTCTGCTGAGCAGCCCAATCAGATGTTTTCTGGGCCCACACTCAACCAATAGGATTTCAGGAGGCAATGATTTATCCAGTCAGATGTTTTTCGAGCCCTGCTCTGAACCAATAGGATTGGGTGGGCTCGGATTATGGGGAATTCCAGCTAAAAAAGTCAAACGTAAGATCTTGGAATTAGAAGTGTAATCGTGTATGATCTTGTAATATCAGACGCCAATCGTGCGAGAAATTTTTGTGTCTACAAAATTTATATCAAGTCTTGATGTACGATTCTTCCAAGACCATCCAGGTCTAGAAATCAGACTCTAAGATCCATGGCAGATTCTTGTAAGTCCGTATCAGATATTACAGTAATATCGTACCTGATCCTATTTGATCATACGAAAAATCGTATGGAAAATCGTCATGTCTGCAATTTTACATCAAATCTTACACTAAGATCCACATATGAGCGAATCGTACAATCTTGTATGATCATACACGACCGTCTAATAGGAATGCAAAAGATTTCTTCATAGACCCACATTATTCACATCACTGATACTGTCGAATACTGATAAGTGAATTATAATTCAAATTAACTTTTCACTCTAAAGAAAATTTTCATCTGTAAACACACTTACCGGTATTTCCAGCTAAATATAACCATCTAACAACTAGACCTCAACAACCTGGTACCACTTGAAATCGACAGAGAGCACGAAAAAGTTCACAATTTACACCTCTATTCGTGAAGGAAAACAGTCATGAATATAACATTCAATTCCAATCCTCATAGATAGGTCAATCTGTCAATACCCGCATGGATATAGTACTTCACTAATACCCTTTTTCGGTACACTACTCTACCTATGCTCTTGTGCGTATATCATTCTACCTATACTCTTGTGAGAACATCACGCTACTTATATCCTCATGGATATATTACTCTACCTATCCTCTTTGAAGTATATCACGCTACCTGTTTCCTCATGAATATAGCACTCTATCTTTAGCCTTGTGAGTATATGACGTCACGTATATCCTTATAGATATATCATTCTGCCTATGGTGTTGTGAGTGTATCCCTCGACCTGTCTCGTCATAGATATATCATCCTGCCTATACTCTTGCGAGAATATCATTCTAGCTATATCGTCAAAGATATGTATCATTCTGCCTGTACTCTTTTGAACATATCATTTTGCCGATATCCTCATAAGTATATCACTCTTCCTATACTGTTGGGACTCTATCACTGTACCTATACGGGTTGTCTATTTGAGTTACTTACTATCGAGAAAAATATGATGTCTTCTACTTAAATGCATTTGTTAAAATTAGGTTATGAAGTCAATTTATAACATGCATTACATCGCAATGAGTTTTTCTATATTGTTGTAGAAACGGTTATGATCTATTGACTGCTCTATCCTATTATTTTCAAACAAAATCACATAACAATAATTATCTTATATTTACTAATTGAAGTTTATGAAGATGCATATCTTTTGTTCGAATATAGTTAACTATAGAGAAGGTAATTCTTTCGGATTGATCAAACAAAGAACATAACAAAAATGATAGATAAGATTTATTGCCATGATCAACACGTAATGAATGAGCTTCAAATGCCTCTTTATCCGATAATATATAATTTGTGAAAAATACCTATGAAATTTATTATCGAAACTTATTAAGATATTATAGATAGGTTTCAGAGCCCCAATCAGGCCACTAGGCCTGCCTGCCTGGCCTATCTACTTTTTCTTCGATATGAAAAATTTGTCGCATGAATTGAATTTAATTCAAGAAAACAAATTTAGTTGAGTAGTTTTGAAGGATAACATTTAAATATGACGAATTAGATAAATGCTTGAGAATAAATATTGAAGATAGATATAAACAATAAAATCTACTGTCAATATGAAGAGGTTTTCAGCACAAGAGAGGAGCTCAATAGTCGATGAAAACTTCCCATGGAAAGTTTTTTTTAAGCAAAATTATTAAACAAGAGTTTCGAAAGTGATCGCTGGTAGAATTCGCTCTCTTGCAACTATTTATACTGTATTCAGATCGTTTGAAATAATCAATTAGTGTATTATGTCTGACTGTTGATGATAATCAGGTCTATTTAATTGTCAATATGGTAGTGGACTAAACTAACTTTCATATAGTTTGATAAGGATTTTTAAGCTATTCGAAATGTTAAGTGAATATCGGAGAAAAAATGAATGATCAGTAAAAGACACCCGAAGGAAACATTTCTCGAGACATGATTTGAGTGTCTTTGACTGATATTTGGTAGATTTCAATCAGAAGTACAGTTTGGATTGAAACTAAAATCATCTTGAGAATCAGCATTCAACATTAAGTAGACTAATGACAATTTTAAATCTTTTTATTGATCTTCTATCGTCGAAAAAAACACCCAAGTACCCATCAAGATTAAGTCAAAATATGAATCGTATCAAGAAGTAGTTTCACTAATGCAAAAGAATTTTAAGGCTGCACAATGGCACTAGAACAAAAAATAGCGTTTGTGTAAGCCATCAGAAACACTCTTAACGAGTTTCATTTTTTTTTGACTTAATCCGGGAGAGACTGGGTGACTTTTCAACGATAAAAGGTCGATAAAAAGATTCAAAATTGGCATAAGTATATTCAGTGTTAAATACTGATTCATAAAATGATTTTTGTTTTTACCTAAGCTGTACTTCTGATTGAAATCTACCAAATACCAGTCCAGACCACTGAAAATCATATCTGAAGAAGTATCTTTTCGGCGTTTTTTTATCATTTCAGAATGCTTAAAAATCACTGTCAAACTGTTTGAAAACTAGCTTGATCGATCACTATAACGATAGTTAAATAGATCAAATTATTATCGACGATGGGATATAGTATGTTTATTAACTATTTCAAACCATATGAGTACAGAGTTAATGCGGGCATTAGAGTCAATTCTGCCAGTGATCACTTTCGAACTCGTCGTGTAATAGTTATGCACAGAAAAAAAAGTAAAATCTTACTAGGGAGTCTATTTCCTCACATGTTGAATCATCTTTTTCACGTTTACCATTACTTTCTCTGGACCAGTTTTTAAACCCCAGTTAATTTAGCTGAAGTTGAACGGTCTATTTTTGTTTTAGATTTGTCTGTCAGATTTTTCGAAAATATTTTTGAAGAAAAAAACAGATTGTTTTTCTCAATATTAATGTGTGTCTGTTTCTTTATTTTCCTCGACACTTATATTTTTCACTTCATGTTAAATGTAGAGTAAAATTTTATACCATCAACGTCTCTACGATGTGAACATCTCATTATAGTGAATAATCTGAATTCACGCTGACCCATTTTTGTTCCGAAGTCAATCATTTCTTAGTGAAAGCCTCCTGGTAATGGCATATGAATGCTTTGTTTTCTGACTTTGAACAACTTGGAAAAAGTTTCCTGTGCTCGACTTTATTTTGTTCTACTCCTTTCCTATATCCTCTGTTGCACAGATAAGAGAGAATCACCTCTGTATAGTGAACACTTTTAAATATTTTCTTGAATATTCACATCAGAAAATTTTTACTTGTGTCATCTAAACTGATTCCATTAACTTGCTGGACTTTCTATGAAGACTAATACTTAATAATATCATATTAGTATAATTATGTTGGTATAATTATGTTGGCTTACTTGCTAGGTAGGTCGAAGAAAATGACAGGCAGGCCAGCCATGCAAAACGTGGGCCTGGTTGAACCTCTGATAGGTCTATCGTTGATCAACTTGTTTTAATTGATTGTGACTTGGATATTTTGTTCTTAGAGAAACAACAGTAACTGATATGCATCTTTTTAAATATGAATATTATCCTTGATACTATTATTCAATCCGACATTGATACATTATTAATATTTATTTGTTCTTAATAGAATATTCAGATGGCTCAGCTAATATAAACATGATAATGATGCTTGTCTGTATCTAAATATATATTCTAGTTGTTTTTCTCATCATTGACTCATTGGTTGTCTTTTATGTGATGAATGGTAAAATCGAATTGAGTTGAATTTTCTTAAATATTTCTATGGTTATCTTAATTAGTAAATTATTGAACTCAATGAAGAAAGATCTATCTCAATTTGATAACATTTTGATAATATTATGCATGACAATGTTTACATCGCTTTTGTAGTCGATGCATTTATCTATGCCAACCGATGAAACATGAGATTTTTTCTTAATTTTGTTAGTTCTGAGAAATGCTTTAAATGAAAATTGTAGAAAATGATCATAGACAAAGTAACAATAAAGATAACTAGACAAGAATCATTCTGGATGTCGAAAATTTTCAAAAGACTACCATCGATTTTAATATCGTAGTAGCTGCTCAGTCGATTGTCTTACAAACAACCGAGGGAAAAAGTCGATTTCATCATTTTATTCATTTCGAATAATATCTAAAATGATTGTGACTACTCGAAGGAGGAGGAACAAATGATCGTTATCTTCCGAAGTAACTTATAATGGGAAATCATGAAATTTGATTCATTGATCAAGCAATAACTATTTGAATAAATCGCGATTTTTTATAAGGTTTGATCAAAAATATTCATGATTGAGGAATTGAACTCTGAAATCGATAATGTTTATTAAGTGTTCTAAAAAAGGTTTCATTACATCAATAAATCAAGTCAACAAATTCGAGAAACTGATTACAAATTTGAATTGATGGAACCTGGCCAAAAACCTTTCATAACACTATATAATATGTAAATTATTTGGAAAAATATTCTTTCATTGATAATCTCATAAGTTATTGCTTACTGGCAACTTACCGGTTGTAATATTAACTATTAAGATTAGCTAGAACATTTTTCTGTATTATTCAAACAAAACAAAAGACTGATTTCAAGTAATTGAATTGATTTATGAGATTGAATACCTTTTCAAATGACTGAATACAGAAAAACAAAAGATCTATTCGAAACAAAACTCGATAACCCGATATTTTATATTATAGAAATTGAATTAAAACATCATTGTGAAAAACAACAAATTTTTCTTCTTTCTAAAAGAATAGATGTAAGAAGCAAAAAAATTCTCATTATTCTTATAAGTAGAAGTAGAGACCAAGATTGAATTTAAAAAAAGAAAATAAGAAAAATAATTGTTCTGATAAGATATATTCATCAATGAATAAAAAAGATCTTTTCATGTTACTATTGATAAAAATAATTTGTATAATTAATTGAATATTTCAATGAAAATAATTATTTTATGAAATAAATAGGAATGATACTAGCAAATTATATATATTTTAACAATTAAAAAATATTGTTTAAAAGAATTTCTTTATATAAAATTCTTTTTTTTAATTTATTTTCGAAGAAAAACATTTAACGATATACAACGGAACGAAACAAATCATTGAATATCTTCATTATTTTCTTGTTACTGAATCGACAATAGCTTCATATATCCATTTCGGATGAATCCTTTTATAGAGATTCATAAATACAGTATCTTGTGATTTAAAAATTCCATCAAATAGACATTTCATATGACCATGTGTACCTTTATATTAAAATAAATCTTATCTTTATATTTAATTAATAAATAACAATACAGAATTAAAAAAACATATATCGAGTAACAGATAATCTTTTATGAATTTAAAATGGATGTCCACTTAATACTAGTCTTTTTAATATAATACGATCATGATTAAATGAAAGAAGAGAACCAGTTGCTACTAATTCTTGACGACCTTTATTTAACAAAAAGCAAAATTAAGTTTTTTTCTTAATTTAAAACATCGAATAAAATATCATCAGGAAATTGTTTAAATGCCAAAACCGATGCAGGTAGATATGTTATTGAACCAAAACATGTTGCAACAAGAGTTTGTCGTGGTCGAAAAAATCTTTCAAACTAATTTAAAATATTCTTATCTATATTAATCATTATAATAATCAATTAGTAACAAACTTTATGTTTATTTCAATTTGAATGTTGAGAATAAATCGGTGAAGTTGAAAAATGACGAAAACCAACATGAAATATAAGACGTTCTTTTGATTTAACAATTATTTCACTATCATTTGTACGATTTAAGACAATATTTAATACTGATAAACACTGTTCATTTGGTAAAAGACCGGTTACAAATAATAGATGAGCAGGTTCTTTAAAAAAAAACAATAACAACAAGTTTTTTTTCTCGAATATTTGTTTTTTATAAAAAAATTTTTCTTACCAAATCTAGTGATGGGCACATCTTTTACATAAAGAGTTACATAACTATGCACCTGTAACAAATATACAAATTAAAATAAGTATTTCATCAAATAAAATCTTTGAAAAAAAAATTCTTCGGTAATTATAATTATTGAAAAGTTAATTACATTTATAGAGAACATAAAACTTTTCTTCATTCTTAAATATATGAAACATTGAAAATCCACTTGCACGAAATCATAAATTTCAACATCTATCGATTATAATCAGATTATCACTCTCTAATCTTTCTTTTTTTTACTGTCAAGCTCAATCAAAAACTAATCTTTTACTTCGAATTTGAATAAAAAGATTTATTTGAAAAAGAACTGAAAAAAGTCATATAAGATGCTCAGATTTTGATTTAAATAAATTGTGAATTATCGATTTGATCAATCATAAAATTTGTTCTTTGATCAGAAACGGACTTATTTAGAAAAAAGCAATGTATTATTTGTTGACTAATGATGATAGGTCACTGTCAAAACACCTTTTTTTCTTTTCAATTCTGATCAACCTCATTATTCAACATATTTGCATTTAAGAATAAAATCAATTTTTTTCAGAAATCTACAATTATCTATTTATCGTAGAATATTTAGATTTTAGTCATTTAATTCGACAATATTATCAATCTGCTAAACTTATTCGAAATTTAGTTGGAGAAGACGATCGCAACTACTTTTAACAAATCTTATTGAAAATAATCGGATAGATTATCTTTTACGAGTATTCGCACTTAATTAGAGATAAACAACGTTAGATTTTAGATTTTGGTAAATAGAGACGATCGTAGTTCTGCTGAGAAAAATCGATAAAGAATTGTCAAGGAAAGAACAATCACTCCGTATTTCTTCTCTCTTTTTCTGACACTCAGATAAAACTTTGATGATTAATAAATGTCAATGATGACAAAACAAATTCATTGTCAACATTATTAAATAGTTGTTTCTTTTTTATGAAAATCTATTCAAAATAAATTTAAACATAAAAACCAACTCTAGAAGAATAGGAAAAAGCACAAAATAATATTTCTATATGATATGCACATAATCATTTTTTAAGGATAATTTTTAAAAAATTCTTCAATAAAATCTCTTGATGAATTAATTGATTGATGAAACTAGATATATACATATATTTAAAAAAGAAACAGTTTAACCAGAGCACGATTCTTGTTTATGGTGATTATATTCTTGTTCACTTTCAATTTGTTTAGTCATAGTACGAAAATTAGGAAATTGATAAATTCTTCCATAATCATATTGGTAAATTTTCTTTTGGATTGTTTGAAAACTTTTTAAACCTCAATATCTTTATCAGAACAATAAAATATAATTAGATAAATATAAAAAAAATATAAAAACATGAAATACTTTTGAAATCTAACACGAGCCGAAACATCCATTGGTGTATCAACTTCATCAGAAAATTATTCATCTAATTTAGTTTCTTTCAATTTTTTAAACTAAATTAAATATTTGAATTAAAATAAATATAATCAGATATATAAAACAAACGTTTGTTTATCTTTCTCTAAATCTGTTTTTTCATCATAATTATTTGGATTCATAAAAAGTTCATCCATTTCTTCTTCATGTTCATCTTTCTTCTTTATGTTCTTGTTGATCAAGTTTAATTGATTGTAGATCATCAGCATAATCAGTCATTATTTCTTGATGATCTTCATCATAATCCTAATATATTAAAAAAGATTTAATATTAAAAAAAAACTAAACATTTTGTTGATTCAGAGCCTGATTATCTTCATCATCAGAAATAAACCGTGCAGTTTGATATTGAGAAGTTCCTGTAGGTACACGTTTTTTTAATTGATGTTCAGATTGTTGAATATCTTGTCTGGTTGGCTATGTTTGCTCTTGATCGAAATTCATTGGATCTTGTTCAGCTTCAAATGATAATCATCGTTCAACATTCGGAGGGTGTGGATGTGGGTTGGGTGCGGGTGTGGGTATGAATGAAGGGAAGATTAACATCCACACCCCACCCACACTTCACACCCTGTGGGGTGTGGGGGGGGGGGGGGGGGGGGGGGGGGGGGGGCGTGGGTGGGTGGTGTGCCGATGTATACGTCACGGCTCGCTGCTCTTCTTGTTTCCTCTTCTTCTCTCTATTGTTCTTCCTGTGTCGTTTCTCTCTCTTTGTTTCTCTATCATATATAAGCGTGTGTTCTGTATGAAGTAGACACATGCTGGAGATGTAAAGTAGCGAATAAACATCATTACCGAGGGTGGCGGTAAACTACTTTTCTAGTCTGTCATCCCATCTTCTTCTATTTATCGTTACAGGTAGGTGTGGGTGTGGGTGTGTGGTGTGGATGTAGATGGATGTGGGTGTGCGTGTAGGTGTGGATGAGTGTGGGTGATTATGGTTCTGAGTGTGGGTGTGAGTGTGAGTGTAATTATGATATCCGACCACACCCGCATCCATCCACACCCCACATCCACCCGCACCCGCACCCGCACCCACCCACACTCATACACACCCACTCTCACCCATACCCCACACCCACCCACACCCGAGGTTTGATTTTATTGATGTAGTTCGAAAAAAAATCATTTCTTGTTAATGTTAGAACGAAAGAAAACTTCAATTGAAACAAACATTATAATGAACTTTGTGTTGCTCATTCAGGAAACGAACAAGATAAAAAAATGATTTAATTCTTTTTCTCTAACAATAGTAACTGTGCACTTTATCGATCAAATGTATACTATTTGTGTTATTCGAATCGAACCTAAGCGAAATGAATGAAATCCTTTCTTTTTTTTCAATGATATGTTTATATCTTTGTTTTCTTATTGACAGATCTACAGACTAAAATCATTTTCGGATGACAAGAAATGGAAAAGCTTTACAGAGGGGATGCATACAGATGAATTTCATTGTCTTTCTATTGTAACGACACATAGATCGTTAGTTTTTAAAATATGACGAATCTTCGAACTGTTTAATCTCATTCTGAGAGAAAAGAATTTAATTTAAGATATCAAATATGCTTTGAGTTGGTGTTAGGGGTGGGAAGTTACCGTTACTCGGGAGTTACGTTACCGGGTAACTAGTAACTTTTGAGTTACTAGTTACCGAGTAACTAGTAACGCTGGAGTTACCAGTTACCAGGTAACTAGTAACGTCGAAGTTACTAGTTACTTTTGGTAGGTAACTTGTCTAAAAAGTCGAGATATCGCTTCCTAATGACTGAATATCATCTATTCATCACTCAATTAAATTACGAGTTACTTGGTAACTAGTAACTCCTATGTGCGTTACTAGTTACTGGGTAACTCGTGAGCTGAATAAGTACTGTAATGATGGTATTCACTCATTAGGAAGCGATATCTCCAGTTCTTAGACAAGTTACCTACCAAAAGTAACTAGTAACTCCGAAGTCACTAGTTACCGGGTAACTGGTAACTCCGACGTTACTAGTTACTCGGTAACTAGTAACTTGCGAGTTACTATTTTCTTGGTAACGTAACGATAACTTCCCACCCCTAGTTGGTGTTCGATTTTCAAGTATATTTTGCACTTAGTTTTTAATCCATTCTTTGGTTCTCATCTTAAGCGATTCGGATATGAAACTGAAATACGATTGATAATATTCTTTTGTTATAAAAAGCAGACAACATTATTATATTAAAGTACAATTGGGAATTCCAAGGATGTGAGGTAACCTAGAGCTGATGTTCTTCGTTGAATTTCTTACAAATATGCACTGTTGATCAAAGACTTGTTGTTTAAGTCATTGATGAATATTGATAATACAGAAAAACTTAAGTAGTCATACTTAATTTTATGGTGAAAATCGACAATGAAGTTCGTAATTGGTATAAAACTAATATTTTTCAACTATCGCGACGAGATTTAAATAACGATAGAAAAATACATTCTCATCTGGCTTTCTCACAATAAATAATACGGAGAAAAATGATAGAAATAAATAACGTGGATAATGATGTATCGAATGGAATGTGATATTGAAATTAAAGATATAATTACATTCACGTGGAAGGAGATACACGTTAGTAGAAAGAGCATGTAAGCAAAGAAAAGACTAACATCTATACCCACAACTATACTCTTAATAAAATCTTTATTATAGCCACGAAAACTCAGCGAAGCATATTCTTAATTTCGAGTTTTATATTCAATTTAAAGTATTTTAAAAGATTAGTTGATTTGTCAAAGATCACGCCGCAAACAAATCGAGTTTCTTTGAAAATGCTCTTTTAATAATATGAAGAATATTTCGTAGTCTAAGTTCAAATGAACACCAATGAAAGCTTATCTAATCGTTTCTTTTTTTTTTTATTGAAGAAAAATATGAATTGAATTCGAGAACTAGTAAGAATATTGAATATTATCGCTTTTTCTTGTCAACTTACAGAAAAGTTGTCTGATGTTTATAATAATATAAGTCGCATCTTTTCAAGAATGAACTAAATTATGAAATCATTTTTAAAATAATCGTAGTCTGCTTGTTGTCTATAATCAGATTCTCTCATAGGTTCCTCTTAAAGTTCATCATTATTAGCTATTGTTCATTATTGAATGATGTCAACTATTGCACATTGTATAGAAATAAATATTGCCGTATACTTTTTTTATCAACTGAATTTCTTTGTAAAGGATGTTTTTTTTCTTGTTGACGATTAATTGTCTTGTGCTCTTTATCTTGAATATTTTACTGTCATCACGTGTAGTCCTTCCAAATAGAGTGTGTAGATAAAAAGTATTCAAAAAGAAACACGAAAAAAAAGCAAGAGACAAAAAGAGACCGAAATGTTGGGTGTGGATGTGGGTATGGGATGTGGGTGGGTGTGGGTGTGGGGTGTGGGTGGGTGAGGGGTGAGGGGTGAGGGGTGTGGGTGTGTGGGTGTGGGTGTGTTTGGGTGCAGAGTAGGTTCTGTACTTCTCTCCATTCACACCCACACACCGACACTCACACCCATCCCACATCCACACATCCTACACCCACACCCAAGGGGGAAAAAGCGGATCCTCGGATCCTTTGGATTCTCTGAATCCTGTTGGATCCTCCGGATCCTTTTGGATCCTTTCAGATCCTTTTGGATCCTAGGATCTGAAAGGATCCAAAAGAAGCCAAAAGGATCCAGAGGATCCAAAGGATCCGAGGATCCGCTTTTTCCCCTTGCCCATACCCCACACTCACACCCACTCCCCACACCCATTAAATAAGTTGGGTTGTGGTAAAGTACAAAATAGAATTATGAAAAATATTCAGGGTTCAGTGCTAACTCTCAATGTAATAAAATTAGGTTCAAATTTTTCCAGGCTTTCAACCCGTAATTCGACGCAAATTTTGACGTATTACAACGTGTTTAATGTCATATAATAAACTAATCAAGTAATAACCATCAACTACATGCTTTACTTTATCTTATTTTATTATATCTTACTTGTTCGGTAAAGTAAGAGATACTTCACTTTACTTTTCGGATAAAGTAGATCTGCTTTAAGGAACAAGTACGATATAATAAAATAAGATAAAGTAAAGTATGTAGTTGATGATTATTGATTTATTAGTTTATTATCAGACATTAAGCACATTCTAATACGTCAGTAACCATCAACTGCATACATTACTTTATCGTATTTTATTATATTTTAATTGTTCGGTAACGTAAGAGATACTTCACTTTACTTTTCGGATAGAGTAGATCTACTTTACTTTACTTTATTAAAGTAAAATAAAGTTAAATTGCCAGCCCTATTTAGGTGAGGTCAGAGAGATTGATGCAGGGATGAAGGCACAAGAATAGGTAAGATGATCTCTTCTAAAGGATAAAAGTAGCGTGATATACCCGAACCGCTATAAGTATGGTGATATACAGTCATGAGAGTACAGATAAGGAGATATATCCATTCAGGTATACGACAGTGATACATTCAACAGGGTGTAGCTATGATGATATACTCCTTAGAGTAGAGGAACGGTGATACACCCATATATATGTAGATATAGTAAAGATGTAGGTGTGTGAAGTGTTGACGTCTTCATCCACACCCACCCGTATAATTATACCAACACTACACCCCTAAATGACATTGCTATGCCCGCGAGACACGAACGATATTGAAAGTATTACGCTGAGTTAGTGACTGAAGAAAAACTTTTTTTCTTTTCTCTAAATTGAAAAATGGAACGAAAAAGCAAGTTTTGATTTCTTTGCACTAAACT